CACAAGTTTGGCATTTATAACATGCTTGCAACTTAACACCTTTATAGCATAATGATATGTTTGGAAATCATCATGCATTTATCATAAAACACATAGGCTTATGGCACATTTCAAACACATTCACAATCACCACACATGAGTTCATAAAATCATATAAACATAGAAACATGTTATACATGCAAGCAAATACTAAGCACATAAGAGTAAGGTAAAGTTTGCTACCTTATGTCTTTAAACTTTCTCTTTACTTTCCCTTACTCCTTTTGCTACCAACCATTAAGGTTGCTTGCTCAGCCTTTGCCATTCATCTTCCTCAATGTCTCATGATTCTAAATACATCAACACATCATTTTTATTCATTCATTAGAGCCATGGTAATCAATAATATCAACACTTTGTTTTCTCTGAACTATATTAATTTCTAACGTTTGAGCTTGATTTACAATCTTTCTAAAATTAATTCCACATGCTATTCCTACACAAGTTTACATGTAGAATCCATTTTCAAGCTCAAGATAATCAAAATCAAACTCCTTCCCCATGAACCAGCCTTGACCAAATAGTATACCTTTAGGGTCCAAAATTTTTATTTTCAATTCTAATACTTCCAAACTTATTGTCTCACCTTTATCCCTCACAATTTTTTTTATTTTAAACACATTGAAAGCATTAAAATTATCAAAATCACATCTTAGGCACAAGAGCCAGGTCTAGCTGAATTACTACTCAATTTGCACAATCATGAAATTCAACCAATTCCAACATAAAACCACTTGATTCTTGTTCTTCTTAAACCTTTAAACATTATTCTAACATCAATTTCATCTTCCTCTTAATTTAGAGATTTCGTGTAGCATACCTCTCTAGGGTTTTAAGCTCCCAAAAATCATTAAAATCCATAACCAAGCTCCTCAACAACAAGGGTAGTGAAAATTACATCAAAAACCATGAACATACCTTGTTTTAGAGCTTGATCTTACATGGGGTCACTTGACCTTTCTCTCTCCTTCTTCTTTCTCTCTCTAGAATTCATTTTGCAAGAGCTTTCCCATGGTTTCTATGAGCTTGGATGAAATGAGGGGTTGGGATGGGGTATTTATAGAAAACAAGATTGAATTTTGGCTGTTGATCTTAAAAATATGTGGCTTAATCTTGACCGTTCATTTTTTCTTTTCATCTTGTGATGACAAGTGTCCTATGACATTATACTTACATCATCTTGATAACATCATGCTTACATCATTAAGCCACATGTCTTCAATCTAACTGTACACGTGTTATTTTACTTGAAATTTTCAATATTATCCATGAATTTTGAATTTTATTTAATTAATTTCTTTGAGTTGGTAGCAAGTCACGAAATTGGGCTCTCTTCCAGGCCCAATGTGGGCCCCACACATGGTCTAAGATGGCTCAAAAAGTTGGCCCACAAACCATTCTGACTCCTTTTCCGTTACTATTCACTTGTAACATTCCGTAATTTTTCTAGACCTCCAAAAATTTATTTCTCTCATGATAAATTCCATTTTCATATAAGAATATGATCTGAAAATTTTCAGAATTTTTCTCCACCTCTAGATATTGATTTTGAATTTTCCCCCGATTAGACTTTTATCAGTAAAACTGTGGGAAATAATTTTTTTAAAATTAATTCTTATACTTTCAAAGCTTGAAACTAATTTTATAAATTCAATCCCATATTTAGATAATTTATCCATATTTTTTCCAAATTTATTGAGGCTTCTAACTATTTTAAATAGTTATTTTCCTCCAATTTTTTCACTGAGATTTTCAGAAAATTATGTGATAAGCTATTTTATACTATTTTTACCTTTTGGGCCTCAATTGAGGTTTTAAAACCTCTAATTTACACCTTAACATTTTTTTTTGGAATTTTTCAGAATTTTTATTTTTACCCTTACTAACCCGAAACTTTACAAAATTATAATTTTACCCCTGGTTTGGTTTAACATGAAATTCAGCTCATTGGGGCCTTCAACATGACTTTTGGCTTATATTTATTTCTATTTCTCATTCCTGAGTCCCAAGACTTCATGCAAGTCTCTAACTTCCTCTTTTTTCAATCCTAGAAAATTTTCCCTTATCGATTTAGTCCCTGAGAATCTTTCTGTCCTTCAAGGAAATCTCTGGGACCTCTGTCAAAAAAGGTCTGGTAGCCTGCCCATTTTAGACTAATTTTAATACTTCTAGATCTAAAATTTAGGATCTGACAGAGTTGAATTTGACCCTAAATACAAGACTTTAATCCATCTTGCCTTCCATCTTCAGTCAAAATATCCATCTTTCCTACCGATGGACATTTCTGCATCTAATACATATGATTAAAGATGATAGTTTAAGGAGATGAGCACATATTTATGATAATTAACTAATTTAACTAATTTCTTTAAAATTTACAATTTTTCAACTTTATTTAACTCTAAACTAATTCTTATATTAAGGACAGAAGGTAATACATTTATGTTAAAAATTTAATATAGGATAAAAATCATCTCTCAACTTTATAAATAGAACTAGAAAAATAGTTTAAAGTACCTGAGTACTAGGCATGGATATAATTTTCACATGTGAAGGTAAAATGGGGAGAGAGGGACATTTTCAAACGGGTGGAGGAAGGAGAGACATCAAATGTTGAAATCGTTCAAAATAGGAACGATTTCACTTTTCTCCCAATATAAAAAATAAAGAGTCAGGTGTGTTAGAGGTGATGTGATGGTGCTTATGCAAGCTCGTTCTTGACTTGAACGAATTCTTCATACTTTTAAAAAATTTTTTAGTCTGAATGATTTTAGGTGTAGTATTTAGGTAAATATTTTTGATCATATGGGATTTTAGTATTTTTCTTTTACTGTTTGTAGCCTCTTGGTAAAAGGGCTAGAGGAGAGAGATGAAATGTTGAAATCGTTCAATATAGGAACAATTTCACTTTTCTCCCTATAAAAAAAAAAAACATAAAGATGTCAGGTGCGCTCGAGGTAATGTGATGGGGTTGATCCAAACTCCCTGTTTCTTTTTGTTTATCGGAGAATTATAATTAATAAAGCTAGCACCTCCATGTTTACAAAGTATTAATGATTGTGGGTAATTTATATTTGGTTTAAGAGTAAAATATACAAAACTTCTATGAACATTTTTTTTGTCATTTTTCACTTGGCAAAAAGAACTTATCATACCCATCACACTTAAGAGGGTCAAACACGTAACCTCATGTTTAATTAAGATTTAATGAGATGCTAAATATCGGTTGTGACAAATGACCGTGATAAATTTCTTTAAAATTAGAATCATGAACAAAAAACTTGCTTAATGCTTAAAACTTAAAAGTTGCGTGGTGGTGAGTCTGCTCTCATGATAGCAGATGATTTGTTAAAAGGGATGGGACCGTTAGGATGGTTCTTTGAACTCCCATCCCTTGTTCAGGACATGATTTCCGGTGGCTCTTTTTTCCAGTAGTGGCAGTGGCGGTGCATGGGTCCTTCTCACTTTGATTTAGGGTGTGTTTGGTATGAGGGATTTGGAAGGGAGGAGAGGGAAGGGAAGGGATTTTAATCATTTTTTCTTATTTGGCAACACACAAATTTTAGGAGGGGAGGGAAAATTTTTTAAAATTTCCCCTCCCCTCCCCTCCTCAACCTTCCCTCCAAAATTGGGAGGATTTGGAGGGAAAGGGCAATATTTTGTCATATTATGACCATTATGCCCATATTTTGTCATGTTGTGACCATTATGTCTATATTTTGTCATATTGTGACCATTATGCCCACACCTTAAATAAAATAAGAGCAAAATTATCCATATTAAAATATTTTTCCCTCCCCTGCCCTCTTTTTTTATAAATCCAAACAAGATAATATTAAAATCCTTCCACTCCTCTCCCCTCCCCTTCCTTCCATTAAAATCCCTCCCCTCCCTTTCCTCTCATTGAGCCAAACATACCCTTAAGGTTAGGGTTTAGGTTTGGTAGTGTTGTTTGGGTTCTGGGTTTTGTTGTGTGGACTTTAGCCTTTTCGATATTTTTGTTTTTGTTTCACACTTTATGTTGATGATCTTTGATTTTATTCAATAAAACAAAAAATCTCTGTCCAAAAAACAAATGCTAGACCAAACTTTTAAGTCTATGCCTATTATCCCAAATTATCAATTTTATTTTCCCTTAAACTTCATTTTTTTTGCCAGTTTGCATGCATATAACTCCTTCAAATTTTGAGTTACGTGATGATAAATAATGAATAAAACTAATAGTATGGAAATTATTTGCATAAATATAAAATTTCATGGCGATTTATTATAAAGTTTTAAAAGTTAGAAACGTTACTTTTTTGGATAAAAAAGTTAGAAAGATTATTTAGATATGGCATAAGGTTCAGTGAATTTTGTATAATATAGCGTATACTTTTTTATTACAATTTTAATATTTGTATTGTGATATATGTAATGATAAAAAAAATTTATTTCTAAACTTTTAAAAACTGATAAATAGATATTTAAAAAAAATTAAGGAAATATAAATTTTCAGATGATGTGTGCGAGTAATTGGTTCAGGTTATACAGAAAAAAAAAAAATGCTGATGTAAAGGAATTGATTTCTGTTGAAGACTTTAAGTTGCCGTTTTTATTTTTTCCCCCTTTAAAAAAAGGCAAAGCAAATATTGCACACGATCTTGGTTTTAAAGAACACTTAAATTTAATTTACGTTCTTTGGAATTAAAATATTAAAGAAATTAACAAAAGGCAAAAAGAAAAATGCAGACAGATTTAATTTTTCTACTTCTAATTGTTTATCTATTTTGTATTCTATAGTTACTTTCCAAACTTCTAAATTTGAAATATTTTAAAATTAATTACTTAAATATTAATTTACTTAATGCCGCTCCTATTCTTAGGACTATATTTACATAAATATCAACTCTTATAATATCGGTTTAGAAGAACCTTTGGTGTTTGTTTCTAAACAGTTCACTAACAAATGAAACATGCAGGAGGAGAGAATAAAAGAGGCCATTGAGGACGCTGGATTTGAAGCCAAGTCCATCGAAGAAGAATCAAAAGAGAAGCCTTCTCAAATTTGCCGAATACACATAAACGGTATGACTTGTACTTCTTGCTCCTCTACTGTTGAGTCCGTTCTTCAAGCCATTCTTGGAGTGCAGAAAGCACAAGTGGCCTTGGCAACTGAAGAAGCTCAAGTCCGTTATGACCCAAAGATTGTCACCTACAATCACCTAAAGGAAGCCATTGAAGATGCAGGATTTGAAGCCATATTAATAAGCACAGGTGAACACATAAGCAAGATAGCATTGAAAATTGAAGGCCTTAAAACTGATCAACCTTTGAGGGCGATTGAAAAGTCTATCCAATCACTTCTAGGAGTTGAAAACATAGACATTAATGAAGAAATGAAGAAGGTTTCCATTTCATATAAACCCTATATGACAGGACCTAGAACTTTCATTGAAGTCATAGAATCTTTAGGGTCTGGGGGTTTCAAGGCTATGATATATCCTGATGGAGAAGGAAGGGAGACTAACAAAGAAGAGGAAATCAAGAGATACTTCAAGTTATTCATATGGAGTTTGGCTTTCTCCATTCCAATATTTCTAACATCTATGATCCTTATGCATGTTCCTGGAATTCAGCGTGTTTTATATATGAAAGTGGTGAACAATCTGACTATTGGACTCCTCATTAGGTGGGAATTTTCGACCCCAGTGCAGTTCTTCATAGGCAGGAGATTCTACATTGGGGCATACAAATCTGTACTCAATGGTTCCGTTAACATGGATGTATTGATTGCCTTGGGAACAAATGCAGCTTACTTCTATTCTGTATATGTTACAGTTAGAGCAGCTTTATCCAGAGACTTCATGGGCAGCGACTTTTTTGAGACCAGCTCTATGCTTATCTCATTTATTCTTTTAGGCAAGTATTTGGAAGTGTTAGCAAAGGGAAAGACTTCACAAGCCATTGCCAAACTTATGGAATTGACTCCTGACACAGCAATCTTGTTAACTTTAAATGATGAAGGCAATGTAACAAGTGAACAACAAATAGATAGCCGATTGATACAAAAAGATGATGTGATAAAAATTGTACCCGGTGCCAAAGTAGCATCAGATGGTTTTGTGATTTGGGGACAAAGCCACATAAATGAGAGTATGATAACAGGAGAAGCCAAGCCTGTGGCAAAGAGGAAGGGCGACATGGTGATTGGAGGCACTGTGAATGACAATGGGGTTTTGCATGTGAAGGTAACAAGAGTTGGATCAGAGTGCGCCCTCCGACAGATTGTTCAACTTGTTGAGTCAGCCCAGATGGCTAAAGCTCCTGTTCAGAAGCTTGCAGACCGTATTTCCAAATACTTTGTGCCATTGGTGAGCTATTTTTTTTCTTATTTTGTTTTTTAGGTGTTGTCTAGTTAACTCCCCAAGGTCTTCATTTTCTTATGCAGGTTATAATGCTTTCTCTTGCAACTTGGGTTTCCTGGCTTGTAGCTGGACAATTACATGCATACCCGAAATCTTGGATTCCATCCTCCATGAACAACTTTGAGCTTGCACTTCAGTTTGGGATCTCTGTGATGGTCATAGCTTGTCCTTGTGCTTTAGGCCTAGCCACTCCTACAGCTGTCATGGTTGGTACTGGAGTTGGTGCGACTCAAGGCGTGTTGATCAAAGGTGGCCAAGCATTAGAAAAGGCACATAAGGTCAGTTTCCGGCATTATGTTGTTATCAGTTTTATCATCAATAATATCAACTTTACTCATTGTGGCAACTACAATTTTGTAGGTGAGTTGCATTGTCTTTGATAAGACGGGAACTCTAACAATTGGAAAGCCAGTCGTTAGTACCACAGAACTCTTCAAGAAGATAACACTACAAGATTTCTACAAATTTGTTGTTGCAATTGAGGTAGACCTTACTCTTCCTATGGAGCACCTAGATGATCTGACTATAATATTAGCTAATATAAAATTAGTTAATGTTTAGTGGTGTATCTATAACAGGTGAACAGTGAACACCCAATAGCCAAGGCCATAGTTAAGCATGCTGAGAAGGCCATAAAAGATTATGAGAACCTTGATTGGCCAGAAGTGCGAGATTTTCTTTCCATTTCAGGCCATGGAGTAAAAGCCATTGTTCGAGACAAGGAAATAATAGTTGGGAATAAGAAGTTGATGCAGGATCATAACATAGTCATTCCCGTAAAAGCTGAAGAAACACTAGCAAAGGCTGAAATGTTGGCACAAACAGGAATTCTAGTGTCCATAGGTAGAGAAATTGCAGGAGTCCTAGCAATTTCCGATGCGTTGAAACCAAGTGCCAAAGAAGTCATTTCCATTCTTAACTCCATGAAAATCAAGAGCGTCTTGGCGACAGGAGATAACTGGGGAACTGCAAATTCCATTGCCAGACAAGTTGGGATTGAAACTGTCATAGCTGAAGCTCAACCTGAGGTTAAAGCAAACAGAGTAAAAGATTTGCAGGTAGGCACATACAAAAACGAGGTCTCAAATAATCACTTATAAACTCTAAGAAAACATGCAAAAAAGTCTCATATTGTGAATTACTCCTAGATTGGAACCATAAAGGCATACCTTAAACCAGGCTTAGTTTATACTGTCTTCATTTTCTCACAGACTTCTGGCTACACCGTGACAATGGTAGGAGATGGCATCAATGATTCACCAGCACTTGTGGCGGCTGATGTAGGAATGGCGATTGGTGCTGGCACAGATATTGCTATTGAGGCAGCTGACATAGTGCTCATGAAGAGCAACTTAGAAGACATAATAATTGCTATTGACCTTGCAAAGAAAACTTTCTCTAGGATTCGTCTAAACTACATTTGGGCTTTAGGATATAATCTACTAGCAATTCCAATAGCTGCTGGAATCCTTTACCCATCTACTAAATTCCGCTTACCGCCATGGATTGCTGGAGCTGCAATGGCAGCATCTTCCGTCAGTGTTGTTTGCTCCTCCCTCTTGTTAAAGAACTATAAGAGACCCCCGAAGCTAAATAACTTGGAGATAAATGGTATTAAGATTGAATAATCAGCAATCAATTGCTTTACATCTTGTTATGTGAATATAAATGGTATTAAGTAGAGAACACTTCCTAGCCGAAACTTTGATTAGCACACAGGGCGTAAGCGCCTAAAAATTCTCATAGGATTAGGTGTAGGATGTCCATCTACATATACGGGGTGCCATGTATCTGTAGGTTTGTACTTGTAGCATTCTTTTTCTGCTAGTTCACTTTGTTCGGTATCCATTTAGTAGTTTTTACATGTACAATATGTTGCTTTTGAATGTAAAATATGGAAGTGGTTGCTTACCCCATTCTATTCAATCCATATCTGCAATATTTCGATTACCTTTCATGAATTTTTTGTTTTTTGTTTCTTTTAACAAAGTTAGCCGGCATCAATATTATTGGGTCACATTTGAATATTATCAAGCCAAACTAGGAATAATTCTTCCGTGGAAAAAAATTTTCCATAGATCATAATTTGGAAACAATGTCAACAAGTCAATTGCTGCCAGTTTCTAATAGTTTGTCCATCTTGCTAGGAAGAAGTTTAGTCTTAATGCTATCAATCCTAAATAAACAAGCTTAACTTAGTCCAAATATTTGCAACCATGGAAATGGAGTTTACCAACAATCTGCTTCTACAGCTTTTATCCTTACCACGGAATGCTATCTGTTTGAATTTGGCCCCATCATATAACAATTCATATTAGGGTTTATCATCCTTAAAGTCTCAATCTCAATTGTCAAATTCAAACACAACGCATTTTGAAGACTACTGAATAACTAACACCATATAATCCAGTATGTTAATATTTGAAGTGCTTAATAAAGACCAACAAGCATAATGCAGAAACATAATATTTAAGATGTCTTTTGAAATTATAGTTCATAGTTAATAACTTAAACACAAGCAGAAGATAGATCATGGAATGCCATACGTAACCGTATTCCTTAACTGATTTCACACAATCTTATTCAGTTACAAGAAACATTCTTCTAACAGTCATATGAAGCACAAAACTCATTCCAACATAGATTCATTTGCTTCAGCGAGACGACAATATTACAGTATCAGCTGAAGCATATAGAAAGAAAACGACTAAATGTATATCATAACCTTAAACCAACGAGAAAGATGCAATTTGTTTTCACATCTTTGACAGCCCTCCCATCTTGTTAGGCTTAGTCCCAAAGTTAGCTTCCCTTAAACGCTGCTCCTGAAATTTCCTTTTAGCTTTAAAGAGGATATTATGTACTTCATCAAAGTGAGGACTTGTTGCAGCTTTTGTGGCCTCAATCCACCGAAGAACCTTCTTGTATGGGGTCAATATTCGAATTCTATCCTTCTCATCCAAAACCTAGTTGTACTCAAAGCTTTGTTAGATCCAGCACAAGGAAGATACTAATAGCTAAGAACAAAGAGAGCACAGATGCACAAAAGTTGTTTATCAGGTAACCCAGAATCAATAATATCAGAAAGAATTGAGTCACATATATAGTTACCTCGAGTTGCATGAGTTCACAAACCATGCTGAGGTCTGCTATAGAAGGTTGAAAGCCACCGACCAAGAAACATCCATCTCCACTGAGCCAGACGTCCTCTAGTTTTGACAGGGAATACAATAAAACTTTCTCTGCTTCAGCAGCTGCCTTGGGATCAAGTGGATAACCAAGAGCAGGTGCTAATACAGTATTTACAACATATGTCACTGCAACATAAGAAGAACACGAGCTTCAGGGAAAAAATCAGTAAAACTAAGCCACCAAATTTTTCTGCAGTCAACCATAGGTTATAATATATCATCTTTTTCTATCCAGAAGGTAGAAAAAAAAGATGCACTATGACTAGGAAAGTATGATTCAACAGTTTTGCTTATATGCCCTCAAGTTTTGTGGTGGGACCAGGAAAAAGGGTATGGGGAACAAAAAGTGTTGCAATATATTTTGGGGAGGTAAAAGATTAGATTTGTACACAATAATAAGAAATTACTAGATCCTTATGATATCATACACAATCCATTTACTTCTAATTCCCAATACATAAATGGGTTCGTCCCCGCTTAAGTCACCCTCAAGTATATCATTTTTTCATTTAGATTTTGATAAGATACACTGTTCTTGTTTCAAAGATAACTTCATAGAATATGACTTCGATTAGCACACTCTAGATTGATTTTGATCTTTGCATAACAAGAAATTGCATCAGTTATATTTCATGACATGAAATTCTCCCTAGGATTACTTTACCATCATAGTTGTAATGTTGATCATGGAAACTAGGAGATAATCCAAGACAATCTATATAAAATACAATTATGTAAAATGAAGTTCTCCGCAACATGCATTCATGTTTCCATGTGACAAACATGGAACTCATATGCCACATTGTTAAAGAACTCACAGACGTCTGCCTCTAGAATTAAATGTATAAGGCACCTGCACCATGTCGTAGATTAGAGTGATGCCAATCCAGTACCGAGTTAATTTTTGCTCTCCCATAAATATCAGCTGGATACCTGATAAATTAAAGAGATATAACCGTTAACAAAGATTCTCTGTGGGTGCATGTGTACGACTCTAAGTTGTGCAATAAGCATAAAATCAGAAGACCAAGGTCGTTTTTAGCGTCTTCTATCTACATTGTATTGCGACCTACATGTAGTTTAGATTCTGGTAAATGTATATCCCAGCAACAGGAATTCATTTGGACTAAATAAAAGTCTAGTAGTGAGAAACTCTGAATTCTCATGGTTAGTTTGAGTCTTATTATTTTCAGGTACTACATATTGAAACAGTTAAGTTCTGATATTTGAAACATCCCAAAGTGTTGATCAATAAAACAGAATAGTTCAGGAGGACTCCAGAAGGAAAAGAGGTGGTTATACTAACCAATGGTCAGCAATTCTGGGAAAGGCGGTAGCAAGGTAGATAAGAATTGCATGGCTGCCATAAATTAAGAAGATTAAATTATCAATTATTCAATAAAAACCAAATATTACAATAATAGGATCTAAAATATGAAGCAGAAAATATAAGCATCAAAAACAGGTGGAGCAAAATGGTAAATAAGCAATTAAACACAATAAAATCATTTGGCGGGGAAAAAAAAAACTGGATTGGGAAAAAATCAAAATAGATATTTTATCAGAGAATTCATATTCATTGATAGTTTCAGATATCACTCTCTATCATGTATAGATCATGAAATACTCAGAATCTGAGATTTAATTCACAAATTATAAGAAATATGATTTCATAAGCAATTAGTTACATTTCCGGTTTCCCATGCATGCAGAAAGTTTGAAGAATGAGTTGAATTGTCCATGACTTATGAATAATTGCGCTTGCAATATACTTTATATTCTTATTATATATGTTGATATTGATGACTAAATCTTAGTGAATACATCTAGAAAGAATCCATCTTCGTTGGACATAAGCTGATTCAGTTTGAGGCTTGAGTAGAAACTACCATGTAGTAACTAGAAATGTCAAATGCGTCACAGTTTCAGAGTCTCTTCCTTCCACAAAGATATAATTTAGATGCACTTGAAAACTACTGCCAAGATTCGGGGCTTAATATAAACAATTCTTTATTTATCTAACTTTTCGGTTTTAAGTTTTAACATAACAATTCATTCATACCCCCTCCCAATTTTTTTTTATAAAAAAAAAACAATAATCCTGGCATCAAGAACTTTACTTTCTTTCAGGGTGACAAGTACAACAGAGCATAAGTAGCAGCACCATCAACTTGGGCTAAAAGAAATGGCATTATTGGGTAATTACCTCTCAAAGAGATTGAAGGTTCCATGAGCAATAGCTGGAACTTTCTGCATAGGGTTAATTTCTGAAATCAAATGAAAAAGGGCAGAGATTCTATTTCTGTTAGTTTGTTATCTACCATTTAAAATTATAATCTCTCCCACCCTCCCTCTCTTTCACTGAATTTATTTTCCTCAGCTTATATGGAGAGTTGTAGAATAAACTAACGAAGCAAAAGTACATAAACCTTATATGAGATCAGATGAACAATCCACTGACCATGGCATACGTTGAGGATCACAATAGATAGAGATATGCACTCATTTCGAGTGTAATCTGCTTCAGTGTTCAAACTAACTGTAGTATTTGACGGATGGTTCTTTTCAATATTAGAATACACAAAATAAAAATCTGATAGGCAATATAATCCAAGAAACAAACGAATCCTACAGAAGAGCAAAGAAGTTGCACTTAATACATAAAACTTTTAGGGTTAAGGTGCAATTTCAACAACAAAGTTTACCCTAAGGGGCACTGGGCACCATAAAGTTTATTTGGGTGCAAAAATATACACAAAATTGTCAAAAGGGAGCATCTGGCATTATGCCATTAACGTCCATCAGTTTACCGTTACAGGGGCCCAGAAAGTCAGTTTTAAGGTGCATTTTTAACAACAAAGTTTGCATCAAGGGGCATTAGGCACCATGAAATTTACTTGAGTGTAAAAATATACATGAACTTTGTAAAAGGAAAAAAATAACAAAATTCTTCAACTTCCATAAACGTCCATTAATTTTATTCTTTTGGACCTCACCAAATGCTATATTTTCTCTCCATCAATTTTCACTTCCAAATCGATCCATCTTTCTCTCATCATAGTCAACACGCAGACTCTTTCTGTAATGTCGTTTTCTTAGCCTCCAAGCCTTTTATATGTATTTAAGTAAAACACATCTTTCCCTTCTAGGATATGAGGTTTATTGCTTGCATCCAAGTACTACCTCCAGTCCTTAATATATGATGCAATAGACTAATTTGAGGAGATTAAAAATAAATAAATAAATTACCTTAAAATATTATATTTATTGTTTTTTCTCCAAATTAATTTTCCTAGCTTGTAAACTAATATATAATTTAATGATGCATATAAATTTAGAGAGATCATGTACTATATGCTATTGCGTCAAATAAATAAATAATATAATATTTAAAGTAATTTATTTATTTATTTTAATCTCCTCAAATTAGTCCATTGTATCCTATATTAAGGACTGGAGGTAGTACTTGGATGCAAGCAATAAACCTTATATCCTAGAAGAGAAAGATGTGTTTTGCTTAAATACATATAAAAGGCTTGGAGGCTAAAAAAAAGACATTACAGAAAGAGTCTGCGTGTTGACTATGATGAGAGAAAGATGGATCGACTTGGAAGTGAAAATTGATGGAGATAAAATATAACATTTGGTGAGACCTAAAAGAATAAAATTAATAGACGTTTATGAAAGTTGAAGAATTTTGTTATTTTTTTTCTTTTACAAAGTTCATGTATATTTTTACACCCAAGTAAATTTCATGGTGCCTAATGCCCCTTGATGCAAACTTTGTTGTTAAAAATGCACCTTAAAACTGATTTTCTGGGTCTCTCTAACGGTAAACTAACGGACGTTAATGGCATGGTGCCAGATGCTCCCTTTTGATAACTTCATGTATATTTTTGGACCCAAATAAACTTTATGGTGCCCAGTGCTCCTTAGGATAAATTTTGTTGTTGAAATTGCACCTTAACCCAAACTTTTATAGTAGCCACGTGATATTTTAATCTTACTTTCTTAAGTATGTATTTTTAACGTAAAGATCCTTGTTTTTTCCCCACTTTGTCACTGTTGGTCAGCTTAATTGAATCTGCTATAAAAGCACCCAACCACAGCGGCAAATCTTCCCTTAAACCATGGGGACCAAATCTGATAAAAAGAAATTAGATAAATACCTTTGAATTGAGGGGATAATTGCTGACGTTTGGAAATATCTACTTTAATCTCGTCGAAGTCTAATCTGTTTAACCTATTCAACGAGTACCAAAATTTAAATTGAAGCAATACTCAGGTTCCAATTTCCAAAAACAGATGATAATGGTTAGAATGATCGTATAAATAATGCTTTTGACGGTAAAGAAGAACCTGCAGAAGAGAAGAACCGCTCGAGATGGCTGGGACATTCGATCTGCATAGACTTTAAGCCTCGTCATTATCCGCTTTCAGCTACGAAGATAATCAATAGAGCTTCTGTTACGGCATTGACCAATCAACTGCGAGACTTCAAACATGCAAGGATGCTGCTAAAGCACCGAACCAACGAGAGGATTTTTCTTTGCCCCTTTTTCCCGCGGGAGAGAATCCTCACTTTGGATGGAGGATGATGCAGATGACATCACCTGTACGGCTGCACCTGTTTTTTTTGGTCAAGTACGGCTGCACCTGTTTGAGCAGACGTAATAGGTGAAAATATAAAATTTAATGTTAACAATGGAGCATTTTTTCGCCAAGGATTAATAGGAGTTATTTACTTATTTTAGTTGGGAAAAATTAATACTGGGAAAAAAAGTTAGGAAAAATTAATGGGTATGTACATCTTATAATTTTATATTATTTTAAAAGAAAATTTTCTGGCTTTTCAATTTTTTTGTACTGTATAGTTTTTAACTGAGCTTTTATAATTTTCTTCATTATTTGTGTTGATCTCGCCATACACACAATTTCTTAATTTGTAAAAAAAAAAATTACATAAATAGCTAATGGAGTAATCCTTAATATACATTTATATTATTTTGATACGTAAATTTAAATAAAATCAAAATAAATAATAATACCGATTACAGGTAAATACAAAGAAACAATGATAAGCTATAATAATTTTTTATTGGGTTAATATAATTTTTGGGAGAAAAGACATAAAAATGACACCTGGATATTTAAATCCCTATTTGGTCAACTAAATAGTAAAAATTACCCTTTTAGCGCACATAACCAAATTGGGATTTTGAAATTTGTTAAAAAAAACCAAATTGCCTTTTATTTTTTTAAAAAAAAATTATCAAGCACCCTTACCAGCCAGCTAATGGTTGATGGCGCTATTGTTCAAGTGGGTCACTGGCCGATGACCGATTGCTAAAGTTTCGGCCATCAATAACTATTTTTTTGTTTTTTGATTATTTCAAATTTAGTAACGCGATTAATAAATTTGTTAAAACTATTGATGAGTTTGTTATAACAATTAACAATAGATTTTTTAGGAAACTCAAAAAGTGGTATTTTTACAATTTCAGTAACGTAGTTAGCTAGAACTGTAATTATATTAACAACTCTCATAATGCCATTAACCGTGTGATCTAAGAGCTTTTTGCACTTTGAGAAATTAGTCATGGCATAATTTTTCAAGTCTTGTAACGCAGTTAACAAGTTCGATATAGTAATTAGTAACAAGTTTTTCCATAAAATTCAAAAGTAGCATTTTTATAATTTTAGTAATACGCTTAACAAATCGTATAATAATATTAACAACTCTCATAATGTCATTAACAAAAAAAATTTCATGAATGTTGATGTTTTTAATATTATTTCTATATGAAGATTGTACAACAAAATTTTATATTTATTAGGCAATCACTATGGTTATGAGTTTTTAATATCATTACATAACTTGTTATGAGAGTTGTCAATAACATTATGAGAGTTGTTAATATAGTTACATGACTTATTAATGGTGTTATTAAAATTATAAAAATATCACTTTTTAAATTTTCTAAAAAACCTGCTGTTAACTATTATACCGGTCTTGTTAATAACTTTAAAGAACTTGTTAATTATGTTATTGAATTTGAAAAACTCCTCAAAAAATAGTTGTCAGCTGAAGTTGTAACAACCAGTCATTGCCCGGGATTGGCGGCCCACTTAAACTTTGGTGGCTGTCGCCGACACCAAAGCTCATGTGCTCAATTGGCGGGGCAATGAGGGTGCTTGATGGTTTTTGTTAAAAAAAATTAAAAGACAATTTGGTTTTTTTAGTAACTTCAAAATCCCAATTTGGTCATGTGTACTTAAAGGGGAATTTTCATGATTTAAGTGACCAAAAAGGAATTTCAATATTCAAGTGTCATTTTTCTATATTTTCCCCTAATTTTTAGTCCCTAAAATTTGGGCATGTTTTTGTTTTAGTTTCTTAAATTTTAAACCCATGATTTTAGTCACTTGAATATAGTCAATATTAAAATGTTAATCCTTGAAGATATAATGTTAAAATCTATTGAAGTGTCATAAATAGTGTTAAAGTGATTATGTAAACTAACCAGATAGCGTTTAGTTAGATCTTGTGTAGACAACAGATGATTAAAAAAAAAAAGTGTTCTCAAAATGCAGCTATCTAGTCCCCTTTTTCCCTTGCTGTTTGTTTGAAAAGTTGCTCACTAAGCTACATTTTGAGAACTCATCATTCTTTATATAATCATTCTTTACATTGTGTTTTAAGGACATATTCTTCTTCTTTGGTTGTCTAGATAGGATTCAACTAAATGTCATTTAGTGAGTTCACATCATGATTTTAACATTATTTACAACATTTTAGTAAATTCTAACATTATTGCACTTCTAGATACTAACATACTAAGACATATCAAATTCTAATAACTAAAACTATAGATTTGAAATTTGATGCACCAAAACGAAAATAAAAATGAACCCAAATTTCAAGGAATAAAAGTTATATTAATCCTTTTTTATTTGTATGTTGATAATAAATAAATTTTATTTCACAATTTTATTTTTAAATTTTTTATTTTTTATTTTGACAATTTAGATATCATTTAGCCGATACTAATTAATACGTTAGGTTATTATTTATAATTGAAGGATTGAATTAATCTTTCATTTTTGTTATGACTGAATTGGTGTCCTATTTGAGGAAAGATTTCTCTCACAAAATTTACATTTAAGATATATATAATATTGGATGATAACAGGAGCAAAGTCTCAATATTTAATTTAAATTTCTTTAAAGAATTTGAGTATTTGACGACAAAAATATATTCAGAAAAATAACTTTTGAAAAGATTCACATTATTAAATTCTCTTGTTTTTTTAAAATTCATTGTGTCACAAATATGAGATCTCACATTTCAAAATTCACGTTTAATTTCCTATGTGTCTCTGACTTCTGGTTAGTCACCTAACAAGCCTTATCTTGTCTATTTTGCTTTGTGCCACTGGGCTCACCTCTTTTGGCAAAGGTTCACACTCTTGAGGTTTCTTCACTCTTTGTAGCTTCTTTGACTCATGATGTCCTTCCTTTCCTCTTCTTTCCTCCTTTCCTTCCCTACCTTTCTCTCTTTTCCGCCGGATTTTTTTACTCACCTCTTCATCAGCTACTGCTTAGGCTCTGTTTGATTGGAAGGTTATTGAGGGGAGGGGAGGAGAGGAAATGAGATAAGTGTGTTTGGTTGGGAAAAATAGAGGGGAGGGGAGGGAAGAAATTTGTTTTTTAGTGCTCCCCTCTAAATTTGGGGTTTTTTAAAGAGGAGATAAATATTATGTTTAATATTGACTAAATTACCCCCACTAGCTTTTTAATATTTCAAGTTTGCCCCTATTATTAGAAACCCTTTTTCACTTTTTTCTCTTTTCGGCCACTAATAATATTTGATAATGATAATATAATATTTCTATCATGGCAATAATTTTTTTCGTAATATAATATGATAAGTATATGTTAATAGAGGGTGGTGTGTTATAATTATATAATATATACATATCATATATATTAACATATACATATCATAATATGCGTGTATTATAATTATATATCATGTTTATTATAATCTCAGATGAATTACAAAAATGCATATATATATTAATATATACATGTCATAACGTGTGTGTATTATAATTATATAATATATAAATATCATATATATTAATACACATGCATGTGTCTTATAATTATAAAATCAATGAGATAGAATGTTAAACTTTTTTATCATATTTTCTAATTGTTTTTAGTTTTATCATAATTTTTTATCATAGGTAATTGAGGTAATTGGTTTTTTTGAAATTGATAAATTAAGAAATAATAATTTTGATATAAATATTGTAATAAAAGAATAAAGTAGTCTAAATATAAAGATAAGAGCATATTTGTTAATTTATAATTACCTCCACTCCCATCTTCTTATGAACCAAACAAAAAATCTCCTTTTACTTCCCCTTCCCTCCAACCAAACAAAACCTATGACCTCCCTTTCCCTTCTCTCCCCTTCTTTTAATTAACCTCACCTCCCCTCCCTTTTACTGAACCAAACAAAGCCTTAAGCAAATTCATTATTCACTTTTTTGTTTAATTATTTATTATTGATTATTGATTGTTTTATTGATTAATTTGCATGTTAATTATTTAATTATTTCTTGTATTTATTGTTTAAATCAATTTCTTATTTGTTTTGCGCTGATAACTTAATTTAGTATCATATTATTGGTCATTTTTTACCAAGAACAATATTGGTCAATTTATTTATTTATTTATTACTAATTTATTTTATGATTTATTTATTTTATGTATGTAATTGTTGACCGACTACAGGAAAAAAATAATCCTCAAATTCTTATACTTTGCATCAATTTTGAATTAGATCCCTTGGTTTAATTTGTTTGAATCCTCATATTTCAATTTGTTAAACCTATTATTTCTTAGGACCCATTTGGTATAAAAACATTGATTAGAAAGAAAAGAAATGGACAAAAACTGAAAGGAAAGGAATGAAAAATTTCCGAACGAGATTCCGAGAACTTACTATGTATCGGAATTTAACATAGGTTGATGAAGAATATTATGTTTGGTTAGATGAAAATATGTTGAAATATTGAGTTATTTTACCATATCACCCTAAAAAAATAATATAACATTTTAAAATAAAAATATGCTTTTTAACCTTATAGAATAATAATATTATTAAAAAAATTCAGTAATTAAAAAAAATAAATGAATAAAAGTGTATTATAATTTAAATAAATGTGAATAATCAATATAAATATAAAATCACAATAGATATTAAATAATTAAAAAACAATTAAATAAAAAATTAAATAACAATATGGCAAAAAAATTAAATAACAAAATATAAATAAAGTAGAGAAGGTCAAACAAGGAATGAGAATACATCCGTCCACATGAGAAAAAGGAAGGAAATGTGAATTTTTAATGGATATACATTTCTTAATTTAAATTTGAATGGATGAAATGATCTATCATTGGAATTTCAAAAGCTTTCTAAGTTCACTTTCTAAAGCAACAAAATTTATTCAAAAACTCTTTATATTTTGAAATTTATTCTAAACATAGTAAACAAAGGTCACAAACTTTTTCAAAAGTAAAGTAACATTGCATAATT